TCCCCCTCGGGGCTTGGGCCCACAACCTGGGCATGTGTCCTGACCGGGAATCGAACCGGCGACCTCCTGGTGCAGGGTCGATGCTCAGCCACTGAGCCACACCGGCCAGGCTGAAATTTAGTTCTTTATGGTATTTCTCAACAGCTACCTTCTGAAAGAAACATCTACTTCCTTCAGTCGTGTCTCTGCCCCTGGTGAACGTTGTTCTTTCTGAACCTTCTTCATGGTCTTCGTGCACATCGGAATGACTTACAGACGCCCGTGTCTGCCCCAGACCCCGCCTTGTGGGGGGCAGGGCCCGTGTCGAGCTCACATCCTGGGCTCTTACCTTACCTCAGGTTTCTGCCTTGAAGTTCTGTGTGAAAGTAATATTTATTAAATTTCACATAAACAAGTGGTGGGTTTACATACAGGAGCTTAATGTTCTCAGAAGTTTGTTTTTAGGGAGAAAATGCTTTTCCCCTCACACAGTTTAAATCACGAATTAGCGTGTGAGAGAGCGTCGGGCGGACAGACGGACGCCGCCCTCTAACGATGCTCTCCCGGCTGATTGGCGCCCGTCCGTGGGTGGGGGCGCGGGGCAGGGGTGTCTGTGCGCGTTGAACACATTCGATAGCATGCACCCCGGACCGGTGTTGACAGTCAAATACGCAAAATATTCTTTTTTGTCTTTGCCGATTAGTGGTAAATTCACATACAGTGTGGACCAAAGCGTCATAGTAAATACAGGAGAAAAAGATTTGAATGGGATGTTATCTTGAAAAATAATGCTAAAATTATAAAAGTTTATTTTCCAACATGTTTAAATAAGAAAGCACAAATGGCACGCGTTATGACCAGGTGTATAACTGTAATTGTCCCTGTGGCAGAGGTATCTTGCTTTCGCGTTGGGGTGATAGGATCTGATGTCCCAATGCGATCTTCTGAGAAGTTCGCGTGAGTTTTCCTAAGACCTCTCTTGTAACATCTTCGGTTTCTTCTCACATCAGCCGGGAACCTGCCCCTTCCTGCCTCCTGCCTCCCCACCCCTCCAGGGTCCTAAGGAAACACTGGCCCGTTTGGCGGGATGTTTGATACTCAGGAAGGAGCGGACTCCGTAGTGTTGGAATCCGGACAGTCTGGGAAAATACTTCTGGTTGAATACAGATTTTAAAAGGTGTAACTTGTTATGGGCACACCTGATAGGAAGGCAGGAACACTTCTGGGGTAAAATTACGAAAGCTCAGTCTTTGGAGCCCTTTCCTCTGATCCCCCTGACCCCGAACTCCTGGTACCCGATATCGAGATGACGGCTGCAGGTGGCGGCCCAGAGCCCGGAGGTCTGTGAACCTGACAGAGATGCTCCTGGCCTCTGAGCAGGTGTGGACCCTGAGGCCGAATCACGTCCTCCTCCACCTTATCACGTCCTGTTGCTCCGCGATGACTTATCTTTGCTGCTTTTCCCGCCCGAGACAAAACTTTCAGGCGCTGTGACCATCTGTTACACTTTCATTCCCCAGCGCGGACCTTCTCAGGGCACGTCCCAGGGCCTTGGAGGGAGCGCACGGCCAAAGGGCTGCTTTTCCGCACCTCACCCCACACCGGGTCCTGTCTGACCGGTAAACAGGACTAGTTTTCCAGCACCTCACCCCACACCCGGGTCCTGTCTGACCGGTAAACAGGACCAGTTTTCCAGCACCTCACCCCACACCGGGTCCTGTCTGACCGGTAAACAGGACTAGTTTTCCAGCACCTCACCCCACACCCGGGTCCTGTCTGACCGGTAAACAGGACTAGTTTTCCAGCACCTCACCCCACACCCGGGTCCTGTCTGACCGGTAAACAGGACTAGTTTTCCAGCACCCCACCCCACACCCGGGTCCTGTCTGACCTGTTAAAAAGGACTAGTTTTCCAGCACCTCACCCCACACCGGGTCCTGTCTGACCGGTAAACAGGACCAGTTTTCCAGCACCCCACCCCACACGCGGGTCCTGTCTGACAGGTAAACAGGACTAGTTTTCCAGCACCCCACCCCACACGCGGGTCCTGTCTGACCGGTAAACAGGACTAGTTTTCCAGCACCCCACCCCACACGCGGGTCCTGTCTGACCGGTAAACAGGACTAGTTTTCCAGCACCTCACCCCACACCCGGGTCCTGTCTGACCTGTTAAAAAGGACTAGTTTTCCAGCACCTCACCCCACACCCGGGTCCTGTCTGACCGGTAAACAGGACCAGTTTTCCAGCACCCCACCCCACACGCGGGTCCTGTCTGACAGGTAAACAGGACTAGTTTTCCAGCACCCCACCCCACACCCGGGGCCTGTCTGACCGGTAAACAGGACTAGTTTTCCAGCACCTCACCCCACACCCGGGTCCTGTCTGACCGGTAAACAGGACTAGTTTTCCAGCACCTCACCCCACACCCGGGTCCTGTCTGACCGGTAAACAGGACTAGTTTTCCAGCACCTCACCCCACACCCGGGTCCTGTCTGACCTGTTAAAAAGGACTAGTTTTCCAGCACCTCACCCCACACCCGGGTCCTGTCTGACCGGTAAACAGGACCAGTTTTCCAGCACCTCACCCCACACCGGGTCCTGTCTGACCGGTAAACAGGACCAGTTTTCCAGCACCTCACCCCACACCGGGTCCTGTCTGACCGGTAAACAGGACCAGTTTTCCAGCACCCCACCCCACACGCGGGTCCTGTCTGACAGGTAAACAGGACCAGTTTTCCAGCACCCCACCCCACACGCGGGTCCTGTCTGACCGGTAAACAGGACTAGTTTTCCAGCACCTCACCCCACACCGGGTCCTGTCTGACCGGTAAACAGGACCAGTTTTCCAGCACCCCACCCCACACGCGGGTCCTGTCTGACAGGTAAACAGGACTAGTTTTCCAGCACCCCACCCCACACCCGGGGCCTGTCTGACCGGTAAACAGGACTAGTTTTCCAGCACCTCACCCCACACCGGGTCCTGTCTGACCGGTAAACAGGACTAGTTTTCCAGCACCTCACCCCACACCCGGGTCCTGTCTGACCGGTAAACAGGACTAGTTTTCTAGCACCTCACCCCACACCCGGGTCCTGTCTGACCGGTAAACAGGACTAGTTTTCCAGCACCTCACCCCACACCCGGGTCCTGTCTGACCGGTAAACAGGACTAGTTTTCCAGCACCTCACCCCACACCCGGGTCCTGTCTGACCTGTTAAAAAGGACTAGTTTTCCAGCACCTCACCCCACACCCGGGTCCTGTCTGACCTGTTAAAAAGGACTAGTTTTCCAGCACCCCACCCCACACCCGGGGCCTGTCTGACCGGTAAACAGGACTAGTTTTCTAGCACCTCACCCCACACCCGGGTCCTGTCTGACCTGTTAAAAAGGACTAGTTTTCCAGCACCTCACCCCACACCCGGGTCCTGTCTGATAGCACCTCACCCCACACCCGGGTCCTGTCTGAACTGTTAAAAAGGACTAGTTTTCTAGCACCTCACCCCACACCCGGGTCCTGTCTGAACTGTTAAAAAGGACTAGTTTTCCAGCACCTCACCCCACACCCGGGTCCTGTCTGACCTGTTAAAAAGGACTAGTTTTCTAGCACCTCACCCCACACCCGGGTCCTGTCTGACCAGTAAACAGGACTAGTTTTCCAGCACCTCACCCCACACCCGGGTCCTGTCTGACCGGTAAACAGGACTAGTTTTCCAGCACCTCACCCCACACCCGGGTCCTGTCTGACCGGTAAACAGGACTAGTTTTCTAACACCTCACCCCACACCCGGGTCCTGTCTGATGTGTTAAAAAGAAGGTTTTCCTTGATGCGACCTGGAAAGCGCATCTCTAGGTCCCGCAGAACCGGCACTTGCGTTGAGTATGTTGGCTCGGCTGTTGATCTTCTGGTGGCACATTTTCCTCCGGGTCGTAGGACGCAGAGGAAAGCAAGACTTGTACATTGTGTGCTGCGCCTTACTTACTAGATCCGTGTACTAAGAACCGGCGGCGGTATTTTCAGGGCGACTGCTTGGCCCTGTTCCGTGTTCTCCGTGTACGCCCGCGGGCTTGGATATCTGACTCTTCCCGGAGGGGCCTGACTCCCCGCAGGAGTTCCTCCCGTTCACTCTTCCTTGTTAGATGTTCTGCTCCGTGTTGGTGCATTTTGATGGAGTTCTTTCTCATTTTAAATCAAGGGACCCAGCGCTCCTTGAAGAACATCTGCCTCAGGTAGCATGATTCTTGTTTGCTTTAAGAGGTTTTTAGTGAAATTTAGGGTCGGATGAGTGACAATCTCGGGGTAAGCTGGTTTTTATGATCTGAGTTGGTTCCTTGTGTCTAAACACTGATCAGGGATTCGTATCCTGAGACTCTCGGGTGTCTTCTCAGAGTTCACAAACCTGAAGTGTGTGTGTGTGTGTGTGTGTGTGTGTGTGTGTGAGAACCGGTCCATACACAAGGGTGGGCAGGAGTAGATTTGCAGTTTTCAGTACGTGAAACGTGAAATAGCTGCATTATTATTTATTCTTGTGTGATATGTATTTTTAGCTGTCATTTTTCATGCTTGTTGTTGCTAATGTGTGGTCTCTGATTAGCAGCTCCCCCCCACACACACACTTTGTTTTTCCACTTCCTCACTGGACTGGGCCATTGGTGACCTGGCTTGTTGGGGTCACCGAGTGGAGCCGAGCGAGGGCCCGGGGGTCCCCAGTGGGTGAGGTGCGTGGGCTGCTAACAGCTGCTCTTGATGTTCGGTGGCTCAGTGGCCCGTTTCCCTTCCGTCTGCTTCTGACACCGAGTTCCGGAGGGTGGAGGGACCGTCACAGACGCCCCTTTTCTCAGTCAATGCTTCCCCTCCTCACGACCGCAGCTGCACTCTTCATATTTCCACGGGAACGTCGGGGAACTGCTTCCAGGGTGACGAATAAAACGCGACCGAGGAGCATTCGGGCTGCAGGTTTTCCTGACCCTCGCGCGGGTCACGTCTCATGTGACGGGGCTGGTGCCCGTTTCTCTCTGTCCTCAGGTCGCCCCCAACGACGAGGCGGTGGTGACGCTGCTGTGTGAGTGGGCGGTGAGCTGCAGGCGGTCGGGCAAGCACAGGGCCATGGCGGTGGCCAGGCTGCTGGCGAAGAGGCAGGCGGAGCTCGAGGTGGAGGTAGGCTGCTGCCCCCGCCCGGGAGTGCCCCCCGCCTGGAGTGCCCCCTGCCCGGAGTTACCCCCTGCCTGGAGTGCCCCCCGCCCGGGAGTGCCCCCTGCCTAGAGTGCCCCCCGCCTGGAGTGCCCCCCGCCCGGAGTGCCCCCTACCTGGAGTGCCCCCTACCTGCGAGTGCCCCCCGCCCAGAGTGCCCCCCACCTGGAGTGCCCCCCACCTGGAGTGCCCCCCACCTGTGAGTGCCCCCTACCTGGAGTGCCCCCCGCCCGGGAGTGCCCCCTACCTGGAGTGCCCCCCTACCTGGAGTGCCCCCTACCTGGAGTGCCCCCCACCTGGAGTGCCCCCCTACCTGGAGTACCCCCTACCTGGAGTGCGCCCTACCTGGAGTGCCCCCTACCTGGAGTGCCCCCTACCTGGAGTGCCCCCTACTGGGGATCAAGCCTACAACCTGGGCATGTGCCTTGACCGGGAATCCAACTGGGACCTCTCAGTCCATGGGACAACACTCAGTCCACTGAGCCACACCAGCCAGGCTAAAGGGAAATTTAAAAAAAAAAAATTTTTCTTTATTGATTTTAGAGAGAGAGGAAGGGAGAGGGAGAGAAATAGAAACATCGATGAGAGAGAACATCGATTGGCACCTCCTGCACGCCCCCCCCCACTGGGGATCAGCCCACAACCTGGGCATGTGCCCTGACCGGGAATCGAACCAGCGACCTCTTGGTGCAGGGTTGACGCTCAGCCCCTGAGCCACACCGGCCGGGGCAGTAAGTCCGTCTTACGAATGCACAAGTTAAACTGCTTCTCTAGATGAACTGCGGCGACTCCAGAGGTTCTGAGAGACCGTATTGGTGAAATGTGACGACCAAGGGAAAGAATGTTGTTGGAGGAATTACGTCAGCTTTTCATTTGACACCACACCCTCCTCCCCCACACACACTCATACATGCTCCCACCTGACAAAAACAAACACGGAAGCATCAAACTCAACAGTACATGCCCAGATGTTTCTTAGGGGGGATACAGGTGAACACACGCTATTTGGAAAGAATGACGGCCTCAGAGCCCTTTCTGCAGGGAGCGTTAGCAGTTGATTTTGTGCCGTGTTGTATGTTGTCCTGTGCAGCTTCATAATTCATACGAATGATGCTTTCCACAGGTGTTTGAAATCCTTTCAATTGTTCTGGAATAGTTTCCTCAACTTTTAAAAATTACATTTACCCACACTCTGCATGGCCCGCAAATACAGACAGACGTCTCAATTTTACATTTTGTCTGGGAACGTAAATGTTGATTAAAAAAAGGTAATGACGTCATGACCCCTTGTGACTGTCTTTGTCCTTTAGAATAACTCTGCTTGTTTGCTTTCAATCTTAGCGGTGTGGCGAGTCGGAGGCCCTGGATGAGAAGGAGTCCATTTCCTCGGCCTCTCTTGCGGGATCGAGTTTGCCTGTGTTCCAGAACGTTCTGCTAAGGTTTCTAGACACACAGGCCCCCTCACTGTGTAAGTAAAACTCATTGCTTCTAGATCTTTTTTTTTTTTTCTTATCCTCACCCGAGGACATTTTTCCATTTTTTGTTCAGATAGAGCAGGAGGGAGAGAGAGGAAGAGAGAGAGAGAGAAACATCGATGTGAAAGGGACACATCGAGTGGCTGCCACCCGCACGACCAACCAGGGCCGGGGACAAACTGCAACCGAGGTACATGCCCCTAGCGGGAACCGAACCCGGGTCTCTCTGGACCGCAGGCCGACACTCCAACCGCTGAGCCAAACCGGCCAGGGCATTGCTTCTAGATCTTAAATAAGGGAATGCCCCCTTTATAAAAGGCGGATTCTTTTTCTTTTTTTTTTGTTTGTATTAGCATCTTATCAAACGTTCTTGACACTGAACACACTGTACATTTCGCTGAGCAAAATCCCGTGACACGTTTTCGATGGAGACGCGTGCAGTTTTAAAATCAGGGGAGCGTCAACGTTTTGAGATTGTGTATGGCGTGAAAAACAAAGCACCCCCTCCCTTTGTGTGCAGTGAGCGAATTCTTCCTTCCCAGGTCTTTCTCGCCCAACCAGAGACGCGGAGGCCCTGTGACATTGCGCTGTAGGTTGTGGTTCGGGGTTTTCTCTGTTCGAACCATTTACTGAATCTCTGGCTTCTGCCTTTGCATCTGGAGGGGCGGGCGTGTGCCGGCGTCCAACACGGCTCTGTAGCCGGGCCCCGGGCGCGCGGAGACCCCTGGTACAGGTGGCTGGCCGCTGGCCGCTCCCTCTCGAGGTCCTGGGCTCCTTTTCGGTCCTTGTTCTGTCGCTGGGGGCAAGTTGAGGGTTTGGGGAGCACACCCAGTGGCTTCGTACTGTCAGTGGACACTTACAGAAACGGGTGTGAGCCGAGGCCTTTGTGGTCAGAGCACAGCAGGGAGTCTAACGCGGTAGCGATGGAAACGCAGAAACGAGGGGACAAGGGAGAAGGGACAGAACAGGGAGGAAGAGTGGATTCGGGGAGGGAGATGTTTGTGCAGAAGAGATGAAGATAGCCCTGCTCGGTCCCGGGGGCCTCCTTCGGGGGAGGGGCTCGGCGGGCGGCTGCTCGGGCTGGAGGGAGAGACAGGGCTTGGACTGCGGGGGGCAGCATGAAACCCCGAAAGTGCAGAGACGAGAGAGGTCCCGTCAGCCACTGTGGTGGGCGGAGATGCCGCGTCTTGTCTCCTGGGGGGCGCACGTCTGTGCTCCGCTGTCCTCATCCTGTGCTTGGGAACGGCCCCTCCCACCTCTGCGTGTCTGGGCCCGTTTGCCGTCAGGCAGAGGGACAGCTGCTTGGCCTCTGCAGAGGCCGGTGTGGTGGTGGCTCGAGCCAGCGTGTTGGCCTGCGGCCCAGGGAAGGGGTTCGCGTTCCCTGGGTCCAGTGGCCGTCTCTGTGCTTCCGAGGGGACGGCACGGGCCCTGGGCTTGGCGGGGTTCGTCGTCCCAGGTGTAATCACTCTGGGGTACGTGCTGCGGAGCGGGCCGAGGGCATGGGTCATGCTGCAGGTTCAGCAGACTGGTCAGGAGTTAGGGGGGCTGGACAGCTCCTGCTTGTGCCCTTCCATCCCGTCGCCCTCCTCTGGGCCTCTCTCGGTTTCCCCAACATTTCAGTCGTGGTTCGATTGTGACGTGTCCTTGGAGACGGGCACCATGTGCCCACAGACACACAGACACACGCGAACTCGACAGCAGCCAGTAGCGGTTGTTTTTTATTATTATTTTTAAAAAATCTTCATCTGAGGATATTTTCCCATCCATCTGCAGATAAGGAGGGAGGGAAGGAAAGAGAGAAACATCCATGTGAGAGGGACACCTCGACTGGTCGCCTCCCGCACGACCCAACCAGGGTTGAACCGCAACCGAAGTATGTGCCCTTGACCGGAACCGAACACGCGACTCATTGGTCTGGGGGCCAACGTTCCAACCGCTGAGCCAAACTGGCCAGGGCTGTATTCATTTATTTTTATTTATCTTTATTATTGAAAGTATTAAAGATGTCCCCCCTCCATTGACACCCTCCTCCCCGCTCCTGCCCTGTCACCCACCTTCCTAGCACTGTCGTCTGTGTCCATGGGTTGTGCACACATGTAAGTTCTTTGGTTTATCTCCTTCTGCTCCCCCACCCCCTTCCCTCTGAGGTTGGTCAGTCTGATTCCTACTTCCATGTCTCTGGGTCTACTTTGTTCTTCAGTACAATTTGTTCATTATAGTCCACAAATAAGTGAGATCATGTGGTATTTGTCTTTCACTGACTAGCTGATTTTGCTTAGGATAATACTCTCCAGGTCCCTCCATGTCTTCTCAAAGGATAAGAGATCTTTCTTTCTTACCGCTGCATAGTACTCCATTGTGTACATGTACCACAGCTTTTTTATCCTCTCATCTACTGATGGACACTTGGGCTGTTTCCAGATCTTAGCTATTGTAAATAGTGCTGCTATAAACATGGGGGTACATATATTCTTCCTGATTGGTGTTTCAGGCTTCTTAGGGTATATTCCTAGAAGTGGGATCACTGGGTCAAATGGAAGTTCAATTTTAACTTTTTGAGGTAACACCATATTGTTTTCCATAGTGGCTGCACCAGTCTGCATTCCCACCAGCAGTGTACTAGTGTCCCCTTTTCTCCACACCCTCGCCAACACTTGTTTGATGATTTGTTGATGGCGGCCATTCTGGGGAGTGTGAGGATACCTCACAGTCATTTTAATTTGCATCTCTCTGCCCTGGCCGGTTTATTCAGTGGTTAGAGCATCGGTCCATGGTCCAGAGAGTCCTGGGTTTGATTCCTGTTAAGGGCATGTACCTCAGTTGCAGTATATCCTCACCCTGGCAGGGGTCGTGGGGGTGGCAGCCAGTAGTCGATGTGTCTCTCTCACATCGACGTCTCTCTCTCTCTCCTCTTCCCTCCCTCCCTCTTGCTCTATCTGAAGATGAATGCAAAAATGTCCTCAGTTGAGGAGTGAAAAACAAATTTTTGTTTTTGCATCTCTCTGATGATTAGTGATGTTGAGCATTTCTTCATATGTTTCTTGGCCCTTTGTATGTCCTGTTTGGAGAGGTGTCTATTCAGGTCCTCTGCCCATCCACATCAAATTAGAAAGCTCAGGAATCCAGCATCAATATGAAAAGGGAACCGGCTGTATGGGAGAGCATATTTACTGATGATATTTGGATAAGAGGTTAATTTTAAAAAATATGAGTTGTACTCATACAACTCAACAAAAGGAAGACAGACAACCCAATTAAAAAAAAATGAGCCCTGGCAGGTTTGGCTCAGCAGTTAGAGCGTTGGCCTGCGGTCCGGAGAGACCCGGGTTCGGTTCCCGCTAAGGGCACGTACCTCGGTTGCAGTTTGTCCCCGGCCCTGGTTGGTCGTGCGGGTGGCAGCCACTCGATGTGTCCCTTTCACATCGATGTTTCTCTCTCTCTCCCTCCCTCCTGCTCTATCTGAACAAAAAGTGGAAAAATGTCGTCGGGTGAGGATTAAAAAGAAACAAAAAATGAGCAGAGGACCTGCATAGACTCTTTGCCACTAGCCGTTTTAGTAATAAAACCAGAGAACAGCAGTCTAGGCCAGTTTTTTTTTTTTTTTTTTAACCTGAAATTTTACGTGTTTATATTACTATTTAAATAGTACTTCGTTTGCAAGGGACCACTGTCTTTAAACTTGAAGTTGTCCTTGGCATACTGGATAGTATTTGTCAATTCCTGCGTGTCATTTCTCTATGGACAACATTGCCTCATAGTGAATTTTCTGATAATCGTTGATTTTGGAAACAAAAATATATGAAAACTGGTAATAATATTGTTACACCTTAGCAATTTTTTTTATCCTCACCCAAGGACATTTTTGCATTTATCCTCAGATAGAGCTGGGGGTGGAGGGGGGAAGGAGAGAGCGAGAAACATCGATTTGGGAGAGACACATTGGGTGGCTGCCACACACATGACCCCCAGCGGGGTACCTGCCCTTAGCAGGAACCGAACCCAGGCCTCTCTGGTCCGCGGGCCGACGCTCTAACCGCTGAGCCAAACTGGCCAGGGCAGCCTTAGAAATGGAAAAAGAAACATGTCTTTTATATTCCAACGGGTCCGGGGGACTGAATTCCTGACTCGTTTCCCTCCAGCGGATCCCAGCAGCGAGTGCGAGAAGGTGGAGTTCGTGAACCTGGTGCTGCTGTTCTGCGAGTTCATCCGGCTCGACGTCTTCTCCCACGACGCGTACATGTGCACCCTCATCTCGCGGGGGGACCTGGCGGTCGCCGCCTCCACGCGGCCTCGGTCGCCCTCGGGAGAGCACGCCGATGAGTACTACCCCAAGGACCACGACCTGAAGATGGAGGTAGGGCCCGGGTGCCTGCCCCACCCAAACCTCTGGGGTTATTCCGATCGAAGCGTGGTTACTCCTGAGGTGTGTTCTTGAGGGAGCAGCCGCACGGGACCACGTGCCCAGCCTTCCCTGTGGGTGCCCTGACACCGCTGGTGGGGAGACGGAACCGTGACCGGCAGGCCCCAGCCTTCCCCGTGCGCCGCCCTGATCTGCTTCCAGCTGCAGGAATCTCCAACCCTCGGGCTCCCCGCATGTCGTGCCTCCGAGCTGGGCTCGTTCGGGCCCTGACGTCCTGGCGCATTGTCGTTCTGAGCAGCGTGTGCCCCAGTATCTGTTGTGCAGCACTGGGACCACTCTTTTATACATAATGGGAAATTCTGTTCTAGCCTTTTTTTTTTTTTTTTTTTAATCCTCACCCGAGGACATTTTTGCATTTCATCTTCAGATAGAGTGTGAGGGAGAGAGAGAGAAACATCGACGTGAAAGGGACACAGTAAGTGGTCGCCACCCACATGACCCAACTGGGTCCGGGGACAGACGGCAACCGAGGTACGCGCCCTTAGCGGGAACCGAACCCAGGACTCTGGACCGCAGGCCGACGCTCTAACCGCTGAGCCAAACTGGCCAGGGCCCGTTTTAGTCTTAACACGTCATGTTTTCATTTCCATTCATCAGAAACGAAATCTGGTTCTCAAATGTTTGGAAGTTGTTCTTTTCCACTCGTTATATTATGCTGTGAGTATATGGGCTTTATCATTTTCTGCCAGGTTCTGGTATTTCCGGACATTGTTCCAGATACCTACGGAATTTTTCAAGGCAAAAAAGCACGAAGCTGGTGATGGGAAATGGTAGAACATGGTGACAGAGATTGTGACACTTCCTTAAAAATAAAAGCCTTGCCCTGGCCAGTTTGGTTCAGCGGTTAGAGCGTCGGCCTGTGGTCCAGAGAGACCCGGGTTCGGTTCCCGCTAAGGGCATGTACCTCGGTTGCAGTTTGTCCCCGGCCCTGGTTGGTCGTGCGGGTGGCAGCCACTCGATGTGGCCCTTTCACATCGATGTTTCTCTCTCTCTCTCTGTTCCTCTCTCCCTCCCACTCTACCTGAACAAAAAATGGAAAAATGTCCTCGGGTGAGGATAAAAAAAAAAAAAAAAAAAAAAAAAAGCCTCGTATTGGTTCTTGGAGAGAAACATTCTATTTTGTAAAACAGCACCTACACTTGTGACTTAAGAACCTGACGTTAGAATCGCACACATTGGTTCACAGTTCACGCTCCTAAGATTTGGTGACTGAATAGTGCAGGGATTTAAAAAAAAAAAAAACCTATTTCTTTAATGTAAATACTTTTGTTTTTACATTATTTGTCCACAGTATAAGTTACGTAGGATAAAAAAAGGGAAGCTACTCACACCGACTTCGGCGTTTTCTCTGTTTCGGATTTTTCTTTGTTGTTCTCGGATGTCAGGGCATCTTTTATCCGAGACTTTCATACCCTGAGGCTTTTCTTGCTGAGCACGTTGCTGAGCCCGTGGCTGGGAACAGCCCGTCGAGGGCACCGCAGTCAGATCTCTTATGAGGAAGTGGATGTGCTCGCCCCTTAGATGCCACGGCCGTCGGCTCTTTCCCACCCTGGGGACTCAGAGTGCGACTTCCCAGGGCAGTGCCTGTCCTCAGACTTCTTTGTTTTGGGAGAAAGCACTAAGAGGAAACGAGGCAGGGCGGTTAAACTGTTGCTGCCACGTTCTCGCTTCGGGGTTTGAATGAGCTGCCGCGGTTCCCCTGGGACCGTCTCTGGGCACCGTTCAGGGCCAGACCGGGAGGGAACGGGGGCACTGACTCGGGAGCCGCTCCCCTGTGATGGCGTCGATGAGAGTGACTTTCAAACTGACTTTGGTTTGGAATTTCCAGTACGTCCCACCTTCGAATTCTTTTTTTTTTTTATCCTCACCCGAGGACACTTTTTCATTCTTTGTTCAGATAGAGCAGGAGGGAGAGAGAGAGAGAGAGAAACATCGACGTGAAAGGGACACATCGAGTGGCTGCCACCCGCACGACCAACCAGGGCCGGGGACAAACTGCAACCGAGGTACATGCCCTTAGCGGGAACCAAACCCGGGTCTCTCCGGACCGCAGGCCGACGCTCTAACTGCTGTGCCAAACCGGCCAGGGCGCACCTTCGAATTCTTATTGACCATTTCCAGCCCCCCCGCCCGGTCCTACGCCAACTTGCCTCCGTCCTGTTTTCCGCCTGGCACTGGAGGGTGCGGTGCCTTCCCCCCGGGCACAGCCGCTCAGCGCCGTGGCTTGGAGCTGACGCCCAGGCCGACCGCCTTGGGAGAGGGCACCCCTCCCCGTGCCCCAGGTCGCCCACCCCGTGTGCCGTCTGAGGTGGCACCTCGGGACTGGGGGGTGTGGGAGTTTCACATGATGCTCATGGTGATTCACTGTGTCTGTGTTGGCTTCTGAACGAGAGCTCTCCGGGGCCTGGACCTGCCTTGCTTTCTCCTCATCCAAGTGTAGTTACGTGATCTTCCTCCTGGGAGTTACTCATCACTCTTAACGAGTAACTCTTTTCTTTTGTTCTTTACTGATTTTTTTTTTTTTTAGAGAGAGGAAGGGAGAGGGAGAGAGAGAGAGAAACATGGATGAGAGAGAACATCGACTGGCCGCCTCCTGCACACCCCCCACTGGGGATCAGGCCCACAGCCTGGGCATGTGCCCTGACCGGGAATTGAACCGGCGACCTCTTGGTGCAGGGCCGACGCTCAGCTCCTGAGCCACACCGGCTGGGCCATGAGTAACTCTTTTATCAAAAATATTGTTTGGGGGAAACAGACCAAAACGTTTATGTTCTTCAGCAGCTCTGGGAGCCCCCTCTTTCTGTGCGTGTTCCCGTAGGGAATGTAGCCCGAGGAGGAAACCCAGCCCCGTAAGCGGCTGTTCCCTTGGCCCTGCCGGAAATGCACCCCTGGGCGGCTGGCACGTCCCGTCTCCAGAAGTGGGGGCGATGGCGACGGCTTCCCAGTGACCCGAATCTGAGTTGGTGGAAACTAACGCCATTTCTGTGTCTATTTTGCTCCAGCGAGGAAAGGGCTTTGAATGCGTGTCCTGTGTGCTTGGAGCGCGTGTGGGGCACGGGGGCTGGCTCCCCCACTGAGCGTCTCCAACATGGTCTTGCAGATGTTCTCGCCCATGCCCGGGGAGTCCTGTGACACCGCCACCCCTTCCCTGGGCAGGAGGATGTCGGTGACCGGCGAGAAGTTATCGAAGAGAGAAAAACCGAGAGAGTTGATTTTCCCGTCGAACTATGACCTCCTGAGACACCGGCAGTACGCGACCCATTTTCCCATACCTCTGGTGAGTCTCCGCCGCGGTCCGCCGACAGTCTGATGATGTCGTCACAGGGTTGCCAGCCGTCGATTAGCCAGCTGCTTGCAGAGGGGTACGCGGGAGAGCGGACGGTGGTGCATGCAGTGCCCTTTCGTTGCAATTCTGACCCCGCGGCTTGTGTGCTGGTGTCGTCCGGTTCCCGGTGGGATGGCACCGGCTGGCTAGATTGAGCAGCACTTTCTACGTCGGGACCCTTTTGTCGAGAGTGTTGGCGTCACCCAGGCAATGTCTCGGTGGGTTTTCTTGTTTTACTTTGAAACCAGAGCACTGAACAGCACTTGTGCGCGTAGCGGTAGGTGCTTTTGGTAACTGGCAGATGAGTAAGACTTTGGGGCACAGGAAAGATGAGTAAGATGAGAGGGGACACATGTCTCTAAAATGACAAGCCTTGAATAAGTGCAGCCACTGAGGGAAAACCCAAGTGCCCACTGCGAGGTGAACCGTTCGACATTCTGGGGTCTCTTCCACGCCCCAGGAATAGATGCCGGAAGGGGGAGAGAGGGCACCGGACCGAGACGTCGTGAGGGCTTCGTCGCAGAGGTCGCACCCGGGCTGGGTTTGGATTTTGACCTGTTGCGTTGAGAGCTGGGTAGCACGTGGGAAACACTTGCCCGGAAATTCAGTGTGTGAGTCATAGAATGATGTCCCCTGCTCTCTGGAGGAGCAAGTCTAGGTTTTTGGTTTTAGTAATGACGACAGGGGCCAAGATTTTATTTTTAGGTTCACTCTCATTTCTTCCTGGGATTTTATTTTCCGGGTAACTCGAGTGAGTAATTTTCATCAAAGACTGTCATTGTTGTTATTTTAACAAAAATGTGATTGTGAGGTGTAGATTATGTTATTTCCTGGATACCTTTGGGGAGTTTTGACCTGCAGGCTAAATATTTTCTTACATGTGTTTATTTATTTATTGGTTACTGTGGAACTTCTTCTGAAATGTCAAAGTCACTACATCCGTGTATTTTTTCTATTTTTATTATTTTAAATAAGAACCCATTTGTTGGAGATAATTTTTCTGTGTCCAGGTCTATATTAAAAGTTGCCATAATTCTTTCCTGTTCACCACTGGCTGAATATTTCGACATTTTTCAGCTGTTACCTGTGATTGTCACTCATTTTTAATATAATGGGGTGACCTCCTAATTTAGGGCCACAGAAAGGATAGCCTGACGTTTCAGAGAGACACACCCTGAAGAATTCATGGATGGACCATCATGCTCTCTGGGGTTTGTTTTAAAACAGTCGAGGGGAGCAGGGGTTGGGGACTGAGGTCTGGAGTCGAGTGAACAGCAGAGCCCTGGTGTTGATGTCCCAGGGCTGACAAAGGCGTGAACATCAGGGCACATGCGGCCGGAGAGTGTACGGGAACTCTGCACCATATTTGTGCCTGTCTTATACTTTTCATATTACTTCACAGTAAAAAGTTTATTTTTTAAAAAGAAGAAAACGGAGAGGGGGAATGAAGCAACTTTGGCAAAATGCTGGGGACGGTTGACATTGGTGAGGGTTCTGGGCGTCTCCCTGGGTGAGCAGGGCTTTGCAGGCCCCCCCAGCCCCTCGCCTGAGCCTGGGTCAGAGCAGGGTGCTCCCCGGGCTTGGACTTGATTCTTCCGTTCGCGTGACCTCGAGCTCCACAGTCTTGCCCAGCGGTCAGTATGCTAAGCACAGTCCGCTTGCTTGGAGGAAAGGACGTGACTGATCTCTAGTGGCTAGTTCTCGTGATGGGCTATGGCGTAATTCAGCTGGATTGCAGTCGTTGAAAGAACTTCTAGAAAATCAGTGTGGCAGGATATACTTTGTACCCTTCCATCACCAGTCGCCCTAAACCCCCTTTTACTGTGGATATAATTTAGAGCAAAGCATCACTAAAGGGAAATAGAAGTATGTACAATGTAACCCGGACATCAGGGATGCTGCAAAGCATCACTAAAGGGAAATAGAAGTGTGTACAATGTAACCCGGACATCAGGGATGCTGCAAAGCATCACTAAAGGGAAATAGAAGTGTGTACAATGTAACCCGGACATCAGGGATGCTGCAAAGCATCACTAAAGGGAAATAGAAGTATGTACAATGTAACCCGGACATCAGGGATGCTGCAAAGCATCACTAAAGGGAAATAGAAGTATGTACAATGTAACCCGGACATCAGGGATGCTGCAAAGCATCACTAAAGGGAAATAGAAGTATGTACAATGTAACCCGGACATCAGGAATGCTGCAAAGCATCATTAAAGGGAAATAGAAGTATGTACAATGTAACACGGACATCAGGGATGCTGCAAAGCATCACTAAAGGGAAATAGAAGTATGTACAATGTAACACGGACATCAGGGATGCTGCAAAGCATCACTAACGGGAAATAGAAGTATGTACAATGTAACACGGACATCAGGGATGCTGCAAAGCATCACTAAAGGGAAATAGAAGTATGTACAATGTAACCCGGACATCAGGGATGCTGCAAAGCATCACTAACGGGAAATAGAAGTATGTACAATGTAACCCGGACATCAGGGATACTGCAAGGTCTGGCTCACTGCCTTACTGGAAAGGACCCTTGGGTTTATTTACCAGGCATGTGAGGAGAATGTAAGAATATGATTTTTTGCAAAGGTTTTTTGTTGTTTTTTTTTAACCTAGGATGTGGCCCTAGTGAGTGAAGGCCAAGGAGAATGACTCAAAGGAACTTGACCAAAAGCGTCTGAAAAATAAACTAGTTTTGTGTGTGTTCTTATAGGAATTTGGTCTTGATCTGCCCATGAGTCAAAACCTGTCCTTAGATGACCAGCCTGTGACAGGTGCGTCATTATACCCGAGGTGTCAGCTCTGCGATGCGGAGGGGTTCCTGTCGCTGCCGCCAGCTGGCTAGAACCTGTTCTGTGCGTGCCCTGTTAGGAGTGTACATTTTCTCCTTTATGACGCTCTTCAAACTCAGAGAATATAGTTGTGAAACTGTAGACAGGCGTTGTCGTGGGTCCGGCTTTAGAAAATAACCCTTCTCAAGGCAGATCTAAAAGTGCATCTGGAGGCAAACTTGTAGCTTCCAGGAACACCGTTCCTTAACCACGGCGGCGAATGTTAACGGATCACCTGTCGTTTCGGTAAGAGCTCTTACTACTGAGAAGAAAAAAACCTACAAAACCCCGTGTATGCTTATCTAGACGTTCCAATCTGTTTATCTAGATGTTCCAATCTGTTTATGTCTAAGTAAGTCTTTTATTTCACCCTCTATTGAATTCTTTCTGCTTCACCGACAGTGGAGAGATCAAAGGGCTGACCCTAAGAGCTGGGGTCACCACTCAGCCGCTGGCCCCACATGGGGTCAGGCTCGTCTTTGGGGTCTGAGCCGCACCAGCCCGGCCCCTGGCCCAGGCTTTGCTAGGTGGAGTTGGCATACCTGTTTTAAGACCATTTGACTGATGCTCTTTTTCCATAACTTTAATGTGACTTTCTAGTTCCAAAGTAGTAGTTTTTAGCAGTTAGTATAATTGAACAATGCCCCTTGAAAATGTTACAGGGGCTACTTCATATTACTACAAAATACAAATAAGAAACCGCTGGATTGGTCATTCCTAACAGTAGAACATCTTGAGTTATAATTTTCAACTAGAATATAGTAGATATAGTACATTAAAAAATATCCATGTATTTTCAAGCCTGTGTAGAAGTGAATGTTTTTTATAGTTATTATGTTAGAAAACCATGAGATGTTAAAAAGCGGACTAGTGAGCCTAGGAGGTTACCTTCTTTGATGTGGAGGTTGGAACATAAATCGGGCTCAGTGGGTTCGTGGGAAGTAAGCTGGCTTTTTGTTTTTTAAGTGACCTAAAGGGCTTTGAATTGTGTTGCTGAAGGGTTTTATGCCAACGTATATCGAGTTTATAGTTGTACCTCGAACGATGAGGAGGTCAGGGTGCTGACCCCACAGTCAGAAACCTGCATGTAACTTCTGACTCCCCCAAGATGTAGCTGCCGGTAGCCCACCGTGGACCAGAGGATTTGCTGACCCCTCCTTCCCTCCCTCCCTCCCTCCCTCCCTCCCTCCCTCCCTCCCTTCCTCTCTTTCTCTTTTCGCTTATTATTATTGTTATTATTTTTTAAATTTTTATGAATTAATTGATTTTTGTTACAGATGTTTCGCCTTTTTCCCCCCAGACACCCTTCTCCCGATCCCCCCCCAGCACTGTTGTCCGTGTCCATTGGTTACGCAGACGTGCATATAAAGTCTGTGGTTCATCTCCCTCCCCCCCAGGTCTGTCAGTCTGGAAGGCTTTGCTGATGTTGCACACGATCGGTTAGCATGTTTTCTATGTTCTGTGCATGAAGTACTGTATTCTTACAGTAAAGTAAGCTGGAGAGAGGAAAATGTTACCGAGGAAGTCATAAGGACGAGAACACGCCTTTATAAGACTCTACGTGCCTATTGAACAGTTTGCAGGTGGGTGGACCCGTGCGGTTGCAATCTGTGTTGGAGGCGCACCTGCGCTTTGCGTATTTGCGTCAGGACGTCAGTTCCTGGCATTTCGCCGAGTGCCTCCCGAGAGCCTCTGCGTCTGTGTCGTCGAAGTCGTCGGGATTTCCAGGCTGTGGCAGGGCTTTACACCTGCTCCAACAAGAATCGTTGCTCTTTCGCCCTGGCCGTTTGGCTCAGCGGTCGGAGCGTCGGCCTGCGGACCAGAGGGTCCCGGGTTCGGTTCCCGCTAGGGGCACGTACCAAAAAAAAAAAAAAATTGTTATATTTTCTGGACAAATATTCGGCTTGACAACTGAGAAATGCTGTTTGGTTTGCATTCAACGTCAGGGTCCTGGTCCACCAGGCCGCACCCGCCAGCTGTCCGTGCGCCCTTGTCCCTTTCCCAGCTGTCTGTCCCGAGTGCCCGGCGGGGAGAGGTGGCAGAGGGAGGTCACAGCCCCATCCCCCGGTTTATGCGTTGGTTCCACAGCTCGGTTTTTCTCTCTGAGCCCTGCTCTCCTTGTGTGACGCAAACGTGGCGGTGACCTTCCCGCGGAACGCCTTTGACAGGTGGTAGTACAGGATCGGGTCAAAGCACAGGTTGGACACGGCCAGGAGCAGCGTGGCCTCTTTGGCCTTGAAGAGCGAAACCCGCGTGGGGCAGTCGGAGATGACTTCCGTCTGGCTGAGCGTGTACGGGATCCGGACCATGTGGTAGGGGACGAAGCAGACCACGTAGGCAGTCGTCACCAGGAGGACGTTGACGAGAGCCCTTTTCACGTTCGGGTACGCGTCACTATCTCTGTTCCTGCGGAGCTGCCGGATCACGAGGCAGTTGGAGATTAAGATGATGACGGAGAAGTTCAGAAATATAGCCACGCTTATGAAGTTGGTCAGCAGGTGCCAGTTTCTCCCGAACTCGTTCTTGAACTCCATGCACCCCACGTTCGGCTTCTCCTTGACGTCCCTGATGGGAATCACCATGTTCGGGACCATGATGAGAAGGACCATGACCCACACGACGGCCGAGATCATCTTGCCGAACCCGGGTTCCTGGATCCGGTACACCTTGCAGCTGCGCGTGAGCTGCAGGCAGCGGTCGATGCTGACGAAGGCCAGGAAGATGATGGACAGGTACATGTTGATGTAGATGAAGCAGGCGGTCACTTGGCAGTGGAACATCTTCAGCTTCCAGGGCGCCACCCCCAGGTCCACGGCGATCTTCACCGGCAGCGCCAGCGTCAGCAGGAAGTCGGCCGTCAGCAGGTTGATCAGGTAGATGCTCACACACCTGTGCTGGGTGTGGTTCTGCACGAAGGCCCAGGTTGCAAAACAGCTTCCGATGATTCCAACGAGGAAAACCAGATAGAAGAAGTACGTGAAGGGCTCCAGGCTTGTGTAAACGGGACAGAAGACGGAGCTGTTCGTCATCTCGGGGGGCGGGAGGGACCACTCTGCCCAAGGAAAGAGCTTTTCAGAGCAGCTGTGAACAGAAGGGAAGGGTGGTTAGTAATTCGGATGAGAAACCTTGTTCTTTAAAGACATTTTCACTCACAGCACCACACTCCCAGTCCCTCTCGTTCTCAGAATCTCGCTGCTGGAAGGGACTGGAAGGAACCTCTTAGATGTGAGGAAGCCTGGGTTTTCCAAGGTCTGAGGTTGTGTTTTTGGGAAATCCCAGGTAGCCGAGCTTCTAGAAGGGATATTTTTGGCCTCACGCTTCTGCCTTCTGATAGCTCTTGCTACCGGTGGGCTGGAAGTTGGTTTGCAGAGGAGACACATAAGCTGAAATTCTGAGAACGAGAGAGGAAACTGGAGGCGGGTGGTCTGGTTGTGGCTGACCCTGCAGAGCCTTCAATAAGGTCACCTGGCTTCTTTGACCACAGACCCATAGAACTGCTGGTGCCGGAAGATTCTAGCCTGGGGGCGTGGTGAGGGGAACAGAAAATTGTACTGAAATGGAAAAGAAAGTATCTCAAAACCAGACCCTTTATTGTCTAACCTACTAGAACACTTGTACAATCAAACTTAAATGTTTCTTTTTAGCAGAAAGAGTTGGATTAGAATCTGGACCAGAATGGATGCCTGTGGCGTCCTGTTTTCTGACTCCAGTTTCATCGTGGTCCCGTGGTGTCCACCGTGTAGGTGGTGGCCACGTGGACCCACCGAGCACTGGAAACGTGGCCAGGCTGGCTCGACATGCATTGTCAGTGAGAAGTGCACACTGGGTTTCAAAGATTCGGCACACAGTATTCAAAAAAATAGTCCACGTGGTGGAATTGTATGAGTTTACGCAAACGGTACAACAATTAGTAAACCATCTCGTTGGTATTTTTATACTGAGCACGTGTCAAAATATTTTTGCTGCATTAGGTTAAATATAATATTAAAATTAATCTCTCCTGTTTTTTTGTTTTTGTTTTGTTTTGGCTCTTTTAAATGCAACTACTGGATAATGCTAACGTGCCTCTGGGCTTTGCATCCTGTTTCTGTTGGACAGTGCTTGTGTAGCTGTGTCTGTGTTCTCAGTGTTTCTGAGAAGTTTCACCAAGAATGCGTTTTAAAGGCTTGTAGCGAGGTGCATGGCATTGGTCACGGAACTCTCAAAGAAGCTCATTTACATCAGTCTCAAGGCTTCTACTGTTGACACTTGAGAGGTTTTTCTATTTTATTGTGGGTTTCGAGGCGGTCAAGCCCAGAAGCAGAAGACGTACCCTTAGAGCCCGCGATCAACGCCGTTCCCTGTGCCCCTGGAACTTGGGGTGACTTATGGGCCTCATCAGTGCCGTGACCGGTCCAGCCAGACCGCCCCTCCGGCCCGGCTGCTTCCCCTGGGGCTGCTGCGTGAGCGCTCCCTCCGCGTGCGTAGTGAGCACCTTTCTTTCATTTTAACAGGAAGGTTGTTTTTATGGTTTAGCGGAAAAGATAGATAGGTAACTTTTTTTTTTAATCCTCACCTGAGGATATTTTTGCATTCATCTTCAGACAGGGCGGGAGGGAGAGAGGGAGGAAGAGAGAGAGAGAAACATCGATGTGAGAGAGACACACTGCCTGGCCACCACCCACACGACCCCAACCGGGCCGGGGACAAACTGCAACCGAGGTACGTTCCCTTAGCAGGAACCGAACCTGGGACTCTCAGGTCTGCAGGTCGATGCTCTAACCGCTGAGCCAAACTGGCCAGGGCGATAGGTAACTTTCAATGGAGTGAATAGTAGGTATAGAGGCTGACTAAGAAGGCCAAATAAGCCCATTCTCTCAAACTCCCTTTAAAAAACAGCAACCACAACCACAAACCCCCAAACTGATGAAGCCTTTCTGATTCCTAATTCTCCTAATTATTTAATGATCCATTGTGCGCACCTTGGGATGAAACAGTGCGCCAGCGGACTGATACGGCGGATGTACCCAGGTGTTCCTGAATTCGTGCCCCGGGAAGGGCCCGTGGCCTGCCCCGTGGCCTGCCCCTTTCCAGCCTGAGACAGGGCTGCGCGGTCCGTGAGTGGTCCCCTGTCCTACACTCGTGGGGACCAGCGAGCACTGTGCTCCTGTGCTTGCTAACCTGTCATTCCTGTCGCGGTGTTATCGCTGTTTCCCAGATGAGGAGACTGAGGGTTAAGGGTGCTGCTGGCTACGGAACCAAGGCCCCCACCCGACCGTCTGGTCTCAGAAGCCTCGACAACAATAGCAAGAGTGGTAATGATGCTGGTGGTGCGGAGAATGACTGTGGCCGTGCAGCCTTCCTTGCCAGGTGGCAAGAACTGGACTCTAAGCAATGTCCAGTCTTAGTTTTTTTTTTCTCTAAAGGCTCATACAAGTTCAGGATTCGTGGATTTTGCTGTTTCATTTTACGATGTCTGTATTTAAAAACCAGACCCAGGTCTATCCTTTATGTCTAACCTCCTTTACTTCCAAAGTCCCCGTGACCTAGTCCTTCCTTACCCACCCCTCTGTCTCTGTTTGCATTTTTAAATTTTATTTATTTATTTTTATTTAATTAAAAAACTTTTTTTTAACCCCCCCCCTCCCCCCCCGGCTTAGTCCTTCCTCTCTGCTTTAGATGGGTGGGGTCTCGACTGTTCTGCGACCTGTTTCTTCTGCCTTTGTACTTCCGGATGTGATACAATTTGGGGATCCAAGGACTTTAAGGACGGAGGGAACCTTTACTGGTAGCATCTAGCGCAGTCCCGGATGATTCGAGGACACTGAAGTCTGGCGCGTGGGTTGCTCAGGGTGTCACAGCTCAGGGTGTCACAGCAGGCTGGGATCTGAGCGTGCGGATCATTTTCTAGGGTTTCTGCCTCAGTCCTTCCTGTGCCCGGGTCCTGCCACCCTACACACCCGGGGGCGCTGCAGTCCTCCCCGGCTTCCTTGTGACTGGCTTTTCGTTTAACTATCCACGTGCCCCGCGGCCTCTTGGACAAGTGTCCGCTCTGCCTGAGAAGCTGAGGGTGGCGCAGACTGACCCTCATCTCCCACCTTGCTCCTGGTTCCGTATAAGGGGCTGGGATGTGGGTGTACGCTCTTGTCTTTCAAATGCCACATAACAACGTGACGGTGTGCCCTCATTGCTCATACAGGGATACAGTAAAGCCGCATCGCACAGAAGACCGACATGGTAAACGAGGATCAGGGAACAGTTTGTTTTACTGGCACTGACTGATATGGACAAGCCGTGGGTGGTTTATCTAAAAGTAACCCCAGTGTGTCTGCGTGGTCAGTAATGCTCGAGAATCATGGGTGCCTGTCAGTGGCTTCCACGAGCCCCCCTCCGATTGCCACAGACACCGAATGTCTTCATTTCAAAGTTTTGGCTATGCCAGCTCGAGGGAACATCATGCTCTAGCAGCCTCTGTGTTCCCCATCACGAATTTGAAAATGAAAGTCTCGGTGAAGATTCTGTCAACCACTCATCGGCCTGTGGGAATCTGAGGTGTCCGGACGAACCCCAACAATATCAAGGACCAAATTCTAGTGTGTCCTTCCTCTGGGTCAGATGCCCTTTGCGTAGAAAAGACACAGACTCGTTTGCTTTTCTGTGGAACTGCCAGTGGAATTTTCTCAAAGTTACCTATTGTGATGTGTGCAGAAGGAAGTCATTTTAAGAACTGCCATGCCCGGTTGTAACGACCACATGGCTATTAATCCCGTTATGAGTCTGACTGCCTGAAGAGTTGTGCTCCCCTATTGAGCCTTTTTTGTAGCGTGGCTGGGATCTTCAGATGGAAGACAATCGTCGTGTCGTTTACAGTGGGGATTTAGTTCCAAGTGAATAATGGTGCCCTCTTACACGGCAACCTGCTCCAGCTTGACATTTCCAGTTCACAGGGTTGAAACACCGAACACCGTCTCCCTCCCCAGGAAAGACAGTTGCAGACATTAAGTATTTAAAAAGACATACCTGGGGCGCCGTTCTCCGAGCCCCGGGGCCTCTCCGTCTTCAGAGCCGCCTGTTCCTCTGGCCGCCCCCCGCAGCCCGGTGGCAGCTCAGCCGAACTAAAATTTCCTTTCCTTTCGTGTGGTTTTAAAATGTTGCATGTTGACGTAGATGAAACTGTGGTTTGCAAATAGGTTAACTGTCTGAACGTCTCCCAAGAAGGTTCTTTTCAATTGTGTGCATGCTTTTTAAGCAGTTCAGACGTGCCCATTCTAAATTTAAAGGAAAGAATTTGTATTTGTTTATTGTGGTACCTAGCTTTTTTTTTTCAACCCAAGATGTGTTTTGCATCAGGATTTTAAAATACATCCATTTTTGTGCCTTGAAAGGGGTCACGAGTGAAAGACATCAGGTGTTCAAGCAGCATTTTATTTTTTATTTTTTAGTTCTACCTACTGATTCTCATCGGCCTTTCAAAGTTATCACTTTAAAAAAGTGTTGCCGTTTGGACCCTGCTGAAGACAGTCTTTTCATAAACACACAAAGATGTGATTTAACCTAGCCTGGTCAAGTACTCTCTGTTTTATTTCTCTTTCCTCTTTTTTGTTCATTGTGGAAGAGTCTGGGATTAGAAATACAAGAGGCGAAATCATTATACAGAGAGATAACTACTGTTTACATTTTTTAGCACATACAGTGAAAAATTTTTTTGCTTGTATATACACACACACTTAACAATGTTATTATATTATATTATATTTATTATATTATATTATATTATATTATATCATATCATATTATATTATATTATGTTATTATATTGTACATACTGTTATATGGTTTGTACTTTTTTCATTCAGGAATATATCGATCTGTTTTTCTATGTCGTGAGAGTATTCCCGTAATGAGTATTGTCAGTTTGGCCCAAACAGCTTACTCGCGATTGGGGCATTTTGTAATTGTTAGATTGCATGTCGCTGTGCGTTTCACGAGTCTGGGTCACTGTCCTTCTGCCTGTGGTGACAGGATGTACTGAGTGTCGGAATGGAGCCCAGCCGGCGAGCACGAAGAAAACACCGCTGTCTCCCCTTGCCCCCCGCTGGGCCTGCTGGGATCTGTCCCTTACCTAAGGCTCCCACGTGGGGAGGGGGCTTACGGCCCAGGCACATCCCAGGGCGTCCTGAGTCTGCTGGCAGAGCTGACCTGCGTTGCTGAGCCGGGTCCTTCAGGGTCTGGTTCCTTCCATTGCTTCGTTGGTTGAGAAATGGTTTGGCTCCGTGTCTTTCCCTCCTACGAATTCTGAGTCAGTTTTCCAGGTAGTTAGAAAAAAAGTCAGGAGTCTCTGCGGAATCCAGATGCATCCCCTTCGGTCTTCACTTGTCAAGAGACAAGCTTCTCAGCCGCCTGAGCGGGGAAGCCGGAGGGGCGGCCCTTGGAAGGAAGCGTAGGGTGCGGGGACGGTCATGGCCGCGTGTCTCTCATGTTCCTGTGTTATCAGTTTATGTTGCAAAAGAAGAGTTTTTCACATGCATTCACTTAAAAACGAGAGGAAAAACCCCCAGTCTCTCTCAGCCTGTATCCGATCCTGGCTCGGAACCAGCGTTGGCGGTCTCCAGAGCCGGGACGGGCCTGTCCCCTCAGGTTCGCGGGCACGTCGTCGGACAGGCCTCACCGCGTCACAGACCTGCCTGCCGAGGTCAAGCCAGGGGGCCGTGGAACGGGGTGACCCCGTCGGGGCACAGGCTAGGGTGGGATGGGGTGGCCGCCAGCCGAGTGGCAAAGGGCTTGAACATGGTGGAGAGAAGAAGGCAAATGGAAAGGTTTCCGGTAAAGTTTTTTCTTCTTTTTTTAGGCTGGTGTAGTTAATAGGTTTACGTCCATGTTCACTTTGGGGTATAAGCAGAGTCAGGAAGCACATCCAACTGTCCTTCAGAGCCCACGAGGCCACGGCTCTGCGCCCGCAGAACCCGGTCTGAGGCGGTTCCCTCTGGGCAGGGACCCCCGCCTTGGACCAGCGCGGCCGAGCCGGGCCCCCCGGTGGCAGGTGGCATCCTGTAGTTCCCTCACGGTGCACACGGCCTTTCTGGGCCGTCCCCGTTTTGTTTGTGTTGTACTGAGTTCCCTTGAATTTCCATCAGTCACTGTCTCCGTCTCAGCAGGACGCCCCGAGTCAGCTTCTAGGAAGGCTGTGGTCACCCGGCCCCCCCTCCAGAAGCCCCGCGAGGTCGCGGGGGAGCCGCCTTCCCTCCCCCTCCGCGGCGAGGCTGCTTGTTAGACGTGATGCAGTCGCTGCTTAACGGATGTTTGTATGTTTACAATAAAAATGGAAACGGAATTGTCCCATGAACGGAGAAAGGAAGTCCTTTGGTGGTTCTCTCCCCTGTCCACGTGGATCATGTTTTTTATTTTTTATTGGACACAAATACCAAACAACAGTATTTCAGTAGTAGTAGCATTTTAAATGTTTAACATCATTAAACTTTGCCTTTTAAGCAGCATGGTCATCCGGCCGATGTGGCTCTGGTTGAGCGTGGACCCTGCACCAAGAGGTCGCCGGTTCGATTCCCGGTCGGGGCACATGCCCAGGTTGTGGGCTGATCCCCAGTGGGGGGCGTGCAGGAGGCGGCCAGTCGATGTTCTCTCTCATCCATGTTTCTATCTCTCTCCCTGCCCTTTCCTCTCTCTCTAAAATCAATAAAGGGGAAAAAATAGCGCGGTAGCCCTTTGGAACGAATGAGGAGGGAACCCGAACTTTGGGGTGGCAACACAAACTTTGGGGTGGCCACACAGAGGCCAGAGAGCTTTCCTTTTTCTTTAAAGACTGTGGCACTAAGATTCCCCTCCAGGACCTGCCCAGTCAGAGTCCATTGTCCCAGCGCCTACTGATGCTTTTTAAATGAAATCCTTGCGCACAAAGTGCTTACAAAGGAGGCCGGCAGGCCCCCCGTTGAGCACTTGCCACCCTCGACTTTGAGAATTCTACGTGGAATTTGCAGCGTAGGGTGCTCAATGCAGAAACAGTGTGCATCCTGAAACTTGCACGGTCTGGGGGGGGCTGTTCCTCGGGCACAGAATGCTGCCGCTCAGACACTTCACCAGCAGCTCGCGCGGCTCCGATCCGCCGCCTCTCCAGAGCCACTGTGCTGTGGGCTCGAGCTTCGAAAGTCTCACTGACGCCCAGAATCGCCTTTCCCACCTGGATGACCCCAGAGCCTTTCTCACGGGCCCGCGGTCCGTCGCTGCCCGCGTGTGCGTGGCGATGAGACAGAGCAGTTGAAAGCGCGTGTGCCCATCGCTCTTCCGAGACGCTGCGCGGTCGGCGTGATGCGAGCGGTGCCTCCGCGTGTCACCTTCTCACGGAAGAGAGCCCATCTCTGGGCATGTTTTGCAGGCCAGGGTGCTCTGCACAGGCGTGGAGGGGGATGTCGGTGAGTGTTCCCGTGTCTGCTGCCCCTGCGTCTGGTTTCCTGCCTGTGTTCTGAGCGCACCGTGTGTGGCCGCGTCCCCGCCGCCCTGAAGGAGCTCCAGAGGTCACCTGGTTTGTCTTCAGTCACCGAGTTCAGTTTGTTTGTTTTTTCCACATGCGTTGTTCTGGTCCACTTTTCACAACGTGATGAGTGACACGTGTCCAAAGGTCAGGGCACGTCTGCAAAGCCTGCCGCTACTTGCCAGGAGAGGGTTCTTGGAGACACTCCCCCTTCCCTGCGGGCGAACCTTGGTGTTTTTGGTGACGTCAAGCAGGGTTCAGCAGCTCGGAGCTATTGGTTGCAGGGAGCCTCGGCTCCCTCGCGGTGGACTATTCCTGTGACGTTTAGAGGGGTGCGGTGTGGAAGGGGTGATGCGCATTTCTGTGGCTGAGAGCCCCAGAAATCAGGAGGAGCCCAGGGGGGCGAGCAGGGTTCCAGAGAACTGGGAGGATGGTGGGCTGCTTGGGCGTGACATGCGTGATTGGGATGTGCGGGGGATGTTTGGGGTCTCTCGGGCAACCTGGGTTCTCGGAGCAGCTGAGCGTGATCTGCGTGAGGACGGGGATGAGGCCGAGCAACCTGGTCAGCCTGGGGCGCTTCACTGGGTCGGCAGTGGGGAGCTCGGGGTGCAGCCCCTTAGGCAGTGCAGAGACCCCCCCTGGCTTTCGTGACTCCCCTACAGCTGCCATCCGCCTCAACTACAGCGGAACCAGAAGGCTCCCAAATACCTGGGAGCTGTCCTGTGTAACAGGCGGCTGGAACCCGGGCTCGGGGCTCCACCTGTGCAGGTGACTCACTGAGCCAGCACTGGTGTGGATTGAACGGCCATTTTCTGGGGGCAAGCTGTGGGGGAGCTGTGGGGGAGCTGGGGGTTCCCCAGCCCATCTCCAGCCTTGGCAGGTGCGGGGAGGGAGCAGGTGGAGTGGTGTTTGCAGTCACGTTAGGGGACAGGTGCTGGGACGGGATGCGCCCTGGAGGGTGGGAGCCCGTGTCTCCCCGGGAAGGGCGGGCTGAGGAGAGTCAGGGCCATCTCGCTGCTCCACTGCACAGCCGGCTTTTCCTTCCTCCCAGCTTGACAGCGAACACCCTGCCCCCCGGCACCCTGCTGCGCCTCCCGCAGGGCAGGGTCTCCTCTGACTCCTCCACGGAAACACCGGCTCTCCATCGGAAGATCGCTTGTTTCAACAAACGCTTTCACAATATCAAACAGATAAGAAAACACTTTTTAAAAAAACGACGTGAGGTTGCAGTTGCTTTTAGTTTACAGACAAAATGCGGGTTAACGTCCAGTTCAGGCAGCGAGGTGTCGGGCAGGGTTCTCCCGGCGAGCAGAGGGCTAACCTAGTTAACGGGCAGAGTGAACCGCGCGGAGGGCTAACCTAGTTAACGGGCAGAGTGAACTGCGCGGAGGGCTAACCTAGTTAACGGGCAGAGTGAACCGCGTGGAGGGCTAACCTAGTTAACGGGCAGAGTGAACCGCGTGGAGGGCTAACCTAGTTAACATGCAGAGTGAACCGAGCGGAGGGCTAACCTAGTTAACATGCAGAGTGAACCGAGCGGAGGGCTAACCTAGTTAACGGGCAGAGTGAACTGCGTGGAGGGCTAACCTAGTTGACGGGCAGAGTGAACCGCGCGGA